CAAAAATTCATAAGTGCTTGAGCATAAATAGTCATTTGTGATGCCATTGTTGACCAGACTGTTTCACGTGGAATACATCGAGGTAAATCCTGTAGACAAATGAAGCAAAAATAAAACGATTCTATGAAAGACAATCGAAATATCTTTGCTTTTTTAATAACAAAAGAATAATGATTGTAAAAAACAAAAAAAAAGTACCTTTAAATACATAAGATATGCATTATAAATTTTTTCAATAAATTCTTTTATTGTTGGTGAAAGTTCAATATCGATTTCATTTTTTGTTGCAAATACTAATATATAAATTATTTTCAACGATTTCTTCCATGAAATAATTTTTCTTACCTTTTCCAATTTTGATTTTAGTCTTTCTTTTTTTAGCCATCGATGCAATACGAGCTGAATCTGTTACAGTTGCCATGGTTGTTGAATTATTTTGTAATTGTCGAATACTATTTTATTAAAACTTCAAAATTTATTACTATTGGTTGTTTTTTTCTTTTGATTTACCTTTCTTTAAAAAGATTTGATTGTCGACCAATTCGAGAAGCTAAAATTAATTTCAAATTTTTTCATTTTTAAATAGAAAAAGAAATATGACATACCATTCATAGACATTCCAGCTTCAATACATTTTCGAAATCTACATGCTCTACAAGTTATTTTTGATGTTGAAATTATTTCACAATTATTATTTTCAACACAATGATATCGTTCAGGTGCATTTTCTTTTATGGATCGTCGAAAAAAACCCTTTACAATTTATTTTATAAAAAAATGAAACATTTTGTCTTCAAGTTTGTTTTTTGTGTCTTACTTTACAAGCTTCACATGTAACTGTACCAAAATGAATACCTGATGCTGATGCATTACAAATAAGACATGGTAATTTTTTATATAAATCTTCTGTCTTTGATCCAATTGATTCTTGAAATTATTTTTATAAGATAAAAATAAAATAAATGTAGAAAAAGAAAATTTACCATGAGCTTTCATTCCAACAGAAACACATTTTTGAAATCTACAATATTGACATTGAGTACGCGAACGTTTTGTTATTGAACATCTGAAATCTCTTTGACATTTATATTTTTTCTTTCCATCACCCGTTGAAATTGAACGTAGAAAAAATTTCTAAAATTATTATTTTTATTTATTTTTACAAAACAAATATATTTAAATCAATTTTGTTTTACTTTGCATGCTTCACATGTTATTGCTCTGAAAAAATTATTTAATAAAAAATGAAAAATAAAAAAAAAATTTAATATAATTAACTAACCCACAATGCCATCCAGATGCTAGATCGCCACAAATGTGACACTGTTCATTATCATTCAAATCATTTGATAAAATATTTCCATAATTTTTTGTTTCTTGTTCTTGCTTAGTATTTTCAATTATTTCTTGATGCACGTCGAATGCACACACATATTGAGAACGATGATCATTATAATGGACAGATGAAGAATGTTCATTCATCAACGTTGACGTGACTTCATGAAAAGAAAATGAATATGAAATAATATATTTTTTTGTTAAATACTTTCGATTTGAACATTTTTCTGCAATAGAAGATTCCAGATCTTTAACTATGTTCAAGCGTACAAAGGAATTAGAGAGAGTCTTCTACACTGTTTCATTTGTTTTCATCATTCTTAACCATTTTTTATGCCGGATGTGATAGATATACCACTTCAGGTATAACGGATTTTCTTCTTGTGTTATCATATACTCTTTATTGAGATTCTCTCTATATATCCCAAGATGTCTATTGAAATGTATAGATAGAATCTCAACAAAGTTTTGATAACACAAGGAGAAAATCCATTATACTTGAGGTGGTATAACTACCACATCCGGCACCAAAGGGTTAATTAAGTTTTTTTTTTTTTTTGAAAAACATTTTTCGATTTTCCAGATTTTCAGGGAGAGTTTTTGAAGCTTTTAAAAGCTACAAAATGATGTCAATTTCAGTCTTTTAAGATTTGCCGCTCCAAATCTTGAAAACCAAGCATTTTTTATGTAAGTATACTAATTAAAGTTTGAAATATGTAAGAAATTAATTATACAAGATGAGTGTTCAAATGTATCATATGGAGGAGCTAGAAAGTTAACATAGATTTTATCTTCGAATAAGGATGTCTTAACATAGAAAACAAACCTCATGATGTTAGATCTCTCTTTCAACGGTTGAGTGCCACGAGTATCACCTATAAAAATTCTTTGACAAACGATTTCAGTTTGTTTGATTTATGAAATAAATTTCAGATAATCTCCGCACTACAGTGGATGAGAACCGTCGAAAGAAAATCGACCGATATCTCTGACTAATTTTCATCATTTGCCTTGGAATTTTCTTCAATAAGTGTCCTGTTCTGATCAAGTTTTCCTTGAAAACTTCACGATCACAGCCATCGATAGAGAAAAGATCTATACTGAGACTGTTTCAAACAATGAAAACTTCTCGATACCTCAAGATTACAGCGTTTAGAGTGTCCTATCCGTGGAACAATATAGACATGTAAATCTTTATTTGTTAATAAAAAAAATTGGAGACTGATGTATTTAAATATTAGAAAACGAGAGAAGTATCAAAAAAGTCTTTTTGGGATTCAAAGAAAAAAAAAACTAGTGTTTTAATTATAAATCCTTTACAATAGAGTCTATCAACCTTGGGTTACTGTTAGTGATCAAAGTTTACCAAACTCTATCTCTAGTCAAAATATCAAGCAAAAGGATTGAAGTTTATATGCTTTTTATTCAGTAGCAGGACTTCTTGCAACTACTGTACAGTCACATAAATACATTAAGAAATAACATTTGTTTCACTATTTTGTTCAAATTGATAGGCAAAAATATTCCCTCGTTTTTCTGTTAACTATTACTTTTCCAATGCATTTTGTGCATATATTCTTTAGATAGATCTACCAATATTTATTTAAAAAAAAAAAGTCTTTTTTTGTCATCATTAAAAGACAAGAGGTTTTTCTCTTTGAATTATCTTTTATCATGACTTAAAATTCATTCTATTCGATCGGTAAAGAATTTAAGTATTTTTGGACATGGAGTCTTTTCTTTTAGAGTTACAAAGAAAATAAACATTACAACAATTTAAATTGTTAGTATTTTTCACATTGAACAAAAGATGAATAGAACAGAATAGTATCTAATGCATTTAGATAAACAAATATGAGAACAAAAACTGGACTCACCATGAAAACTATCTTTATCTTCAATAATGCTTTCATCTTGTTGATCATTAATAATCATCATCGACGGAAAATGATTATTTCTAAAACCCATCATATCAAATGATGTAGATGAAGACATTTTTGTTGCATCATTTTCATTGAATTCTTGATGATTGTGATTGTATTCAAATGATGAAGAAGAAAAGGTTGATTGAGAATTATTTGTAGTGTTCATAGTTTTCTTTTGTTGAAATGAACAAAAAAAAAATGAAGAAATGTGTGACTTATTCAGGATGCTGTGACTAACAGTAAAGAGATATTTATTTAGAGCAGAATGGAGAGAGAAAAAAAAATTATGTTTCAACTTTTTCATTCAAAGATACTTGTTATTATTTCTATAACTATTGGTGTTAGAAGTCATTAGAAAAGGCAATAGAAGAAAGAAGAAAGAAAGGAAAAGCAAATAGAACCTATCGACTGCAGACTGTGTTTATACTGATCAAGAAAGATGAAAGACACTTCTAGTAATTGCTCAGGTGTATTAACTTGATATAGATAGTAACAATTGTTTGACTCTCTGTAGAATGTATATTTAAATGGATAATATAATTAAGAACTAAAGGAAAAATTAACTAAATATTTCATAGTATCAATGTTCTATATAATGATTCAAAAAATTAAATTTTAATTCCAAATATAAATATTATCTTAGATTTAAAAATAAATTCATTCTTCTTATTTAAATAATTATTCCTATGAAAATGTTTTAAAAAATAATTTACTATATTAAATATCTTATCAATTCATATCTAAACATCATAATAATGAATGATAGAAGTAACATATTTTACTTGTATCAATTTAAAGATTTCATAGAGTTGTTTATCAAAAATTTATGATAGATGTGAAAATATATAAAATACTTCTCAATCAATAAAAGTATTGCAAAACGTTTAGCGATGAAATTTACAAGAGAAAACGACAAAAATGTTGTTCAATGAGTAATTATTCATAACATGTATCTTCTCTTTTTCCCACTTAACGTTTATCATACAATTTCGATTTTTCTCTCAGGTAAGTAAAGAGGATAAAATAGAATTAAAACAAATTGCATAGTTTAAAGTAGTGTTGACTATTGCAATACTTTTCTTTTTATTTGCTTTGACTTGATTCATTGCTGAGAGTTTATCTTATTAAATATTCACAATTGATACTTTCATTAAATAGAATGATACATGCTTGTTTAATGCCAAACTGAACGTTCAATATACTGATTCAATTTTAATTTCCTAATGGTTATGATAATCGTACTATATATTTGTGTAGAACTTGATCAATTATTATTATTAAATATTGTTATCTGTTGCCCATTGAGTTGTTATGTACTTTTAACGTTTTAAGAGAAGACCATACAAAATGCGGTGATTCCTTATCTTTTTCAGAATTTTGTTCTCTTTGAAATGGTATAATTAAAAAGTAATATTCTACATCCTGAAAACTACCGTGTCCAGTGTTCTGAAAAAAACTTTCTATAATAATTCATCTTATATAGAATGAATTCGATAAAAAATTCCATTGGCTATTTAATTCACGATCGAGATTAGAGCTAATTGCTTTACATTAGAGAACAAAATCAAAAATACATATTTTTATTTAAGAAATCCTTGATCAGATTGTATTGCTTGTAGAAAGAGAACTTTTAAGTAAATCATTAAAAATGCATTACCAAACGGAACAATATTTGTAATATTCAACATATTTCAATGTTTTATTTAACAATGAAAAAAAACAAACAAGAAATAATAATTAAAAATGAACTTTTTTTTTCTTTTTTTTTGGTGGTTTTCTCATATCATCATCATCATCATCATCACTATCACTATCATCACTGGATATTTGTTGTTTATCATCAAATTCTGTTTGTTCATTAATTTCTAAATCAGCAAAAAATGAATTATTTTGTCGTTGTCCACCTTTGTTTTTCTTTTTATTTAATATTATTTTTAATTGTTGAGAATCAATTAATTGTAAAGTTTCTTGTGATGTTGATGTACCAATAAGATAATCTGTATCACATGATGTAGATAATGTTTGAATTGGCATTGAACATGTACGACCAACAATTGACATTATTCGATGAGGATAAAGACTAAGACAACTAAAACAAAAAAAATTAATATAATAAACAAAAATAAACGAACCGAATTTTTCCATCTTCACAACCAGTAACAATCAATGATTGATCAAGTGAAGTAAGACATTCAATTCCACCTGGATGACCAGGAAATCGATCAGACATATTACCAAATTCTTTCCAATTAAAAAAATATAAAACACCTTCCATTGTACTACATACTACTTTAGTTCCATCCTAAACGACAAAAAAAAAATCTTTTCTTCTATTCAACATAATCAAATGAAAAAAAAAATTTATACTTTAACAATCTGACAAGCTGTTAAATCACTATCCATTAATTCTGATTGTATTTGTAACTTTTTCTTTCGAACATTATAAACAGTTAACGTACCTTCACCACTAAAATATTTTTTGAAAATTATTCTTCAAAATAAAAAAAAACAAAACGATGTTAATTAAATACCTTGTAGTAAGTAATGTTCGTCGATCATTCGCACAAGTCAAATCACTAATATAATCATCACAATCATGAAATTCAGCTAAAGATTTCTTTTGCCTATAATCCCATAACTTTATTTTTTTTCAAATTTATATTGATTTAGAATAAAGTTGTTTTTATTTACCTTAACATAACCATCATCATCACCTGTTGCTAATACACAATTATCAACTATACATAAACAATTTATAGGAGAACTATAAAATTAGAGAAGAAATTTTTAAAAAAATCAAAAATAAAATTATGTACTTGTGTGCTCGTTTATATTTTGTAATCATCTTTCCAGTTTCTGTTGATCTTAATTTAATTGATTTATCTTTAGATACAGTTATGATGGATTGACCATCAGGTGTTAATCCAATAGCACGAACTGATTTTTTGTGAACTTTCATTGAACGTTCATTTGACATAGATCGTTCGTTTTCGTCATCATTTATCTTTATCCTGTCAACAAAGAAAATATTTATATTAAAAAGAAACACATTTTTCAGACCAGTGCAAATGTCCAGAAATTGCACCGGCTAAGAAGAGATTTCGAGTAATAGGACAAAATCGAGAACACATAATTTCTGTTGGAAATTCAATTTCTGGACCATCGTCAAATAATGATGCTGAAACCATGATGTTTTAATGAATGAATAAAAAAAAAAGATTTAATTTTGCCTGTTTTAACAATTTCACAATTATTGGATAAAAGTATAACCTAGTCAAATCGAATAAAACTACCTTCCTTCTTTTGTTTCTTTGATCATACTCAACGTCTGAACAGATGTCGCCAATTGATGAAAGATTATTTATTTATAAAAGTTAGATCTTAAAATTCTCTTTCGATCGAAACAGTAAATTTCTCATCGATTACAATCCATATGTCTATATTGGCGAAGGAACTTCTCCAAATGTGAACTTGCTTTCGTTCTTGAATATACCGAAATTTTACTGAATTTTCAACGTAAAACTATTGTTTCCCTCAAGTCACGAGAAAAATCAATTGTTGAGTTTTCATTTCAAGCTTTTTCACGAACAAAATTCTTAATGATATCAATTCAATGTGAAAGTTTTAGCTTTTCCAACTTCTTCTTTCTCAAAATATAAATATATGAAGAAAATTTGCTTTTACATATAAGACAAATTCGAATACTGAATATTTCAAGATAGTATATTGTAGAAAAATTTTAATTTGGTCAAGATATTAATCTGTTTCAAATACTTTGTTCGTACAAAATTTGAAGATGAAACTCGAAAGTCGTTTTCCATATTATCTCAGATGAACACAGTTTTTTGTATTGAAAAACTCAATAAAACTTTGCTGTCTTAAAAACAAAAGCCGGAAAAAGTAAACCATTCTAGACTTTTTTTTCTTACTTACAAGTACTCATAAAATAGACATAATCTTGATTGAAGAGCGATTTGACATCTGGAGAGATTTCCTCATGAACTGTTCGAATAAGTTTTGTTTTATTTTTAAGAAAAGAATTTTCGAATTTAGAAAAAATTTCGTTATGTTTTTAGGACCGGCACTTTCGACCAAAAAGAAATCTTTTTTTTCTCAGTTATTGAAACGTCATGTGTAAAATATTATAACATTTTTCGAGATCTCATTTCCAGAAACTGAACTATTGCAACAGATTAAGTCTCTCCTGATAGGATTTGATTTCATCTGAACTTTGCACTGTGATCTGACCAATTATTGCATCATAAAATAAATAAATCAAGTTTTTTGTTTCGACATTTAACATGAAAATTGAATAAACGTACATTTTTATTGCAGGATAAAATGTATATTTAATTTAGATAAAAGAAATTCTCAAATACAGAAGAAAAAAATGTATCTTTAATACTGACAGGATAAGTTATTATTTGAAATAAATACAACAAAAAGTATCATGCTGATTATATAGATAACAATAAAAAGTTTTCTTTTCTACATGCTTTTCATTTTTTCTCACATTAACAACGAAAAATAACAAATCCAATAGTAATAAATAACACATAAATAAGCTTGATTAATAAGTGCAAAAGTAAGATAACATGAATGTATTCATAATTAATATATAATTCTTTATTATTCTGTTGCTGTAATACCAAGAACAACTTTTGTATTAGGAATATGAGTTTCACCAGCAGCTTTAGCTTCAGTTCGAATAACTGTCGTTGATGTTGATGTTAAAAGACGATTAGCATCTGCAGCTCCCAAACTAAATTTATTAATTATTTTTTTATAAAAAATATTTTCTTACAATAATCTTACGCAGCAACTTGTTGTGTAATTGCATCAACTTTTGCATTTGCCTGTACTTGAGCTTCACGTAGAACAGTCATTTTTAAACGATTAGCTTCTTCATTTAAATCATCAATACGTTTTCGAGCTTGTTCAAGAATCATATCTTGACGTTGATTTAAATCTTTTTCAAGTAAAGCTAAATCTTGTGCTTTAGTTGTATCAAGTTCTTCAATAAAATTTTGTAATTTAAATTTATATTCTTCTTCAATAGCAGCTGAACGTACATTAGCATCATTTAAAAGTTTTCCTTGTTGAGATTGAGTATCAACAACAACTTTTGCAATAGCTGATGTTACTTCTTCAGATATTTGTTCAGTACGACGACGAGAATATTCATCAATTAGTTGATGTGTTGTACCTAATATATACAATTTATTAAATAAAAAATATATTTAAATAATATGAAACTATTTTACCAAGTTTATTCATTAATGTAGCCATTTTTTCTACATTTTCCATACTAACTTTTGATTGTGTTTCAGTACTAACAATGGATTTAACAGCAACATTTTCAGCAATGGCTGTATGAGCTACAGCTGAACCTGTTGTAGTATTTGCTTCATGTCCAATAGTTGACATTTTGTTTAATGAAATTAAAATAGAAAAATTGATTATCTGAAATGTATGAAACTCTTTTGATATTCTCATTTGTTTTTGAAATTAACAGTTTGTCCAACATAGAGGCAGTGTCTCTCCGAAAACTAGATTAATCCTTTCAAATTTTATAGTTATTATGATAAATACTATATGTCTTTGTTTCCAAAAATATGTGATCGTCCTCTCGATCGTTTACATAACTTCTTCGAAAAAGAAAATCTTGATAAAATACTGCCTAAAATAAATATGTTATTAGTTTTAATGAATCAATCAAATGATGAATACAAAGGAATCTTTTAACTTACGCGTATAGAATAGAGTGAAGAAAAAACAAAAAGAATGTTGATGTATAATGTTCGTCTTTATGTAGCTCATTCTTTCGTTATCTATTTTAGAATAGAAGCTTAACTCTATATTTCGTATATATATATATATGAAACACATTTTATCAGACATATTTGCGATGGTAATAATTCCCTATCTCTTTTTCTATCATATTTAATATACATTGCAGAAATAACAATGCTCAAAGAAAATCAGAGTAACAAACATATATCATTGTTTTGTTGATTGATTGTAAAATTTCTATTGAACGAATCATGGATGAGTGTTGGAAACCATATCAAATAGTATTCTTTGGTAAAAATTTATCAGATCAAATGATATACTGAAGATTTTATTGTTTTTCGATAAGAAAAAATAAATCATTTAAGATATTTTGTAATACATTGTGTTCGTGCTTTTATATCCATAACTATCATGAAATGTACTTCTTTTCTGTAACAATACAAAAGAATGATAGTAGATGTTACATTCTTTTCTCTTTTATTCTTTAGAGAAAAAATTCCAAAAAAAAGCTAATCTTTTTGTGGTTTAGTGTATGAGTAATGTAAGATGAATCATTTCATTCTCGGCTTTTCCTTATTTATTACTCTGATTACGTCGTTTAATTATTTATTAACAATAAATTATTCATTTTGATTTTTTTTTTCACCAACATCAATATTGTCTGTTGACAATATTCTTAATCAAGTTAAATCATTTCCATTAATTGTACTCTACCAGCCTTACTTTTTGTCCTCTCTCTGTTTTTTTATATGAGTTTCTATGTTAATGGCCTAGTCGTATACAGATATACAGGAGGAAAGAAGTACATCGACATGCCGTTTTTTTTTCATTCTCTCGGAAGAAAAAATAGTCGAATGGATATAGTCAACATTCATACATTCATTCATTTGTGTTTAAATATGGCAAGATAAAGTACGAGAACACAATAATCATTTTATATGTAAATGTATACATATCCCGATGATGTTTATCTAATAAACCCAGCTCTCTGTGGCAAAGCCGTTGATGATAATTGCATGTTGCAATGCATTCGCTGAGGGATACAAAAAAAAAGCGATACATTTACAATTTACTTTTTTTTTTTTTTTAATATAAATCAAAATAAAATAATAGTTATTGTTCGTTCTTATTTCATGATGAATTTTGTTTGTTTGTTTGTTTTTTTTTTTTTTAAAGTGTACTTATGAATAGATACAAGCACATCATAGAAAAAAAGAAAAAGAAGACAAGAAATTATTCGAAGAAAAGAAAAAAAAAGATCATTTCGAGTTTTGAACACACTCGAACAACATCGATACAACGAAAAAAAGAAAAAAAAAGAAGACTTTTGCTCATCAAGCATTTCTCTGTTCGTTTGTACACATCATAAATTATTCTTTCCTATTTTCATTTTTATATATCCGTTGCACGAAAACGTGCTGCTTGCTCTCGAACTCCTAGAAAAATAGAAATAGAAAATTTTTATTAAAATAATTAAATATTTTCTTACGTTTTTCATATTCAACTTTATCTTGCATATAAATAGCATATGCTTCAGCTTGTGCTGGATCTTTTGGATTTGGTTCATTTAATAATTCTTGTATACCAAGTAGAATTTGTTTTATTGTTATTGCTGGACGCCAATCCTTTTCTTCATCAAGTAATGATAAACATACTGTTCCACTCTATTTAATTAATAAGATAAATGTATTGTTTTGTTTTTTTTTTCTTAATTTTAAATTTTTTTTTTCCTTACGGGATAAATATTTGGATGAAATAAAGGTGGTTCAAATTTACATTTAGGTGGTGTAGATGGATAATCATCTTTAAATATCATACCTAAATTAAATTAAAATATTTTAATTAGTTTTATTTAATCTAATGAACTTACGTAATTTATATAAACCACCTTCCCATGGTGTACTGAGTTTGCCTAATCATATAAAAAAAATATTTCCAAATTTTGAAAAAAAAACAAAAAAGATTTTTTTAATTTTTGTATACCTGGAATACCACATTCCCAATTGAGAAGATTCAGAGTTCCATCGACATTTTTGGATGGTCTCTAAAGAACAAAATTAGTACATTAAAAAACAAAGAAGTTTGAACTTACAGCAATAAAACCGAATGGATGATCTCGTCTCCATGCTTTTCGTTCTTCTGTAAGACGTGCTGCTGAAATTCCGGCCATTTTGTGTGTTTTTTTTTAAATAATTAATTATTTCTGAAATAATTAGTTTAATTAAAATCCAAACAAATATTTCTAATCAAAGATAATAATACAAAAAAGAAAAAAAAAAAAAAAAAGAAAAACAAACAGAGGATATAGATATAAACCAATTGGAAATTAGATAGTGTCCATTCTCCTCTTATTCTTTTAAATCAAATCAAATTATTATCGGGACTGAAATATTTA